ATATGTCATAATATATGACGATTTCGGTCAAGAGCTCTGCTAGGGCTTCCAATGGCCATTTTGGTCTTAATTGATTTCACCGCTCGAAGAAGAGGACCTCGCATCGTCGACTCTCGCTCCGTTGACGTCACCGTCGTCTCTCGCGCTTTCTGCGTCCCGACTTTGACGTTGTCGTTTCTCATCGCAGTTGTTGCAACTGCGCCCGACATTGTTTTCTTCTGTTGCGACTGTGTCCCGTCTCTCATCGCAGTTTCGTCTCTCGCCCGACAGCTCCTCTCTTTGCCGACTCCTTCTGTCAGCAAACTCGCTGTATCTTAATGCAGACAGCTTTCATTGCTCTGATGACACTTCCTTCTTCTTTGGTTGAGCCGGACAAAGTCTTCTTTGCCCACGTGGTGGGGTCCGCGGTGGTTTTCCCCTCAAGCTATAAGAAATGTCGCGAAAGTACAGATGTTTGCCCTTTTGTTAAGAAGGGAAGTAAGAAAGGTGAAGAAACATCAATCTTTTTCTCAGAATCAGAAATTTCTATCATGACGAAAAAATTCAAGTTTGCTCTTATTGAAAAATTTCTGAGACACCCTCCTATGGATGTTATCAGAAAGAATGCTGATGATCTTAAGCTAGTAGGCAAGTGGAAAGTGGGACTCATGGATGGGAGACATGTGTTGATCCAACTAATAGTGGCTGAAGACTACACCAGAATTTTCTCGAAGAAATATCTTAATATCACAGACAAATCAATGAAGTTATTCAAGTGGTCTTCTGATTTCGACTCAAATCATGAAACTCTCACTGTACCGGTATAGTTTAGTTTATCTGGTCTCAAGTTGCATTTCTTTCACCATCAGGTTCTCTACTCTATTGGGGTCATCTTAGGGGATCATTTGAAGCTAGATCTGCCTACTTTCAACTTAACTAGACCCTCGGTGGCCAGAATACTTGTGGAAAGGGATATTACTTTACTTGATGTTTACTTAAGTCTGGCTAGGCACAACCCATTATGGTTTTTGACAACAAATTGTCATGGAGCACAGACCCCAATATGGTACCCACTATAAGATGTTTGGTCATGTCCTTGATAAATGTCACAAGTTTCATCGAAATTTGAAATTTAAGGTTCAAGCGAATAAGGATGGGTCAAACCCCACTGCTCTGAACATTTTAGTTTCACTTGGGGATGATACCACCAGACAGGAGGCGTCTGTATTTGTTTCCCCTGAGGACCCCCCATGACACTGTTGTTATTGTTACTGCGAGTGATGTGATGTTGACACCTTCAAACCCCATTGAAAATAATACTGATGGACTGTTACCTACAAATGATAGAGTTCAGACTGATAATCAGGAGAGTATCGTAGTTCCACTTCTTCAGGAATTATCCGGTGTAGAGGCAACTCATACTTCACATATACTAGAGCCTATTGTGGGTACTACGGTTGATATTTCTTCTGCTGCAGCTCTACTACCCCATCAGACTGATTTTTTGGAAGAGAAATGACAAGGCTATTCTAGGAGAAAGAAGAAGAATGGAGGCCGACTCCAGCTCGGGAACATATTGGATGATATATTGGTTACTACTGGCTATGACAATCATCTTACCAGTTTATTAGCTTGCTCCCTCCCCAGAACTAGAGGCAGAGGCAAGACCAAATTGGGTCGCTCTCTAGCCACCTGATACTATGTATTTCGGCATTGTTAGGCTTTTTATTTAAGTATCTAATATAATTTTCTTTTTTTAGTTTTGGAACCATTTGTGATTATGGGGTTTTGGAAGAAATGAAGCAAAAATTGTGCAATTTGAAGTTAAATGGAACAATGAAGAAAATTATGACCTGATGAATTTTGATATGTTTTTCTTATGTTAAATTCCCTTTACAATTATCACAAGTTTTTGAATAAAACTGTACTTAAATTTTCATGTTTATCTTGTAGGTATAACATTTGGAGCGGATTGGAGTTAAAACGGGGTGAAATGGGGCGAAACGGGGAGCTACCAGTAGGGTGGCGCCTAGGTGCCGCTATTTCCCAGAAAACAACGCCTAGGCACAAGAAACGCTTGTAGACGAATCTAGACACCCCAAAGAGTTTATAAGGCACCTTTTGGGACTTGGAAAGGCACATTTTGGCATTTCAAACCCTTGGAAACTCGAAGAACGTCCAGAGAACGCAAATACGAGTAGGAATGTAGATTTCTACATTTTCTGGAAAGATTGGTGAAGGATTTTGAGAGATATGTGAAAGGAAATGTATGAGTATTGTGTGGATCGGCAGAAAATTTTGTTGGAGAAATTTTCATATTTCATTCAGAAGAAAAAAACTAAGTATTATTTTCTTTATTATCTTATAATTATTGTAAACACTTTCTAATAGATTTACTTTGATTTAATAAAATTTTCTGTTGTGTTTCATCCATGTTTCATGAGTAGTTTTCTTTACTCTTTTCTTTTGATATGAAGTTGTGGCAAGGTAGGAAAATTTATTTTAAGATAGAATAATTTTTATTTCTATGTGATGAGTAATATCTCATTTGTTTCCTTGACATAACTTAAGTGACAATATGTTATATTAAAATCTGTTGTAAATGAAATTAAGACGCGGGAGAGCGGTGATCTCGCAACTTGAGTGCACTCACATTAACCGGTTGGCTATGTTGAAGTAGTTTAGGCGGCAATGCAAATTTTAAGAAATTATAATTCATGATCTATTTCTACTAGGAGCTTCTAAGTAACAGCTAGTTGTGTAAAACTAATAGAATACTAAGCGTACATATATACTCAGGAGAGGGTAAGTAGTCATATATTCCTTGTTGGCACATAATTTTATCATTTCTTTTATAGTTTATGTCATCATCTTCATTTTACTTTTTTTTCGCAATGAAATAGATGCATGTTTAGGAATTTAGATTTGCTTAGAAATTCTCTTATTTTATTAATGTGATGATATTTTCATCGGTTCTTAATTTACTTTTCAAACTGGTCATTTGTAAAGTTAAAATCCATTGCGAAACTTAATGACCCGGGAGAGTTATGATTTCACCCAACTAGTGAATATCACACTAACCTTCGAATGGAGGGGAATCATGATCTAGGGTAAGTGCAAATAGATATAGAGATAAGATTTAATGGGTGTAAATTTGTTGTTTCTATGAAGACAGGCTAGATTCCTACCAATTTGACTTAAGGTTTCGTACTTTAACACAAGGATTCAGCCAATATAATGGCATAGGCTGTGGGACTCTAGTGGTGAGAGGCTAGAAAGTTCTAACAGGGTCATCAGGATGTTAAGAAATCGACTTTAAGTTAGCCAATATTTTTTATGCACTTGGAAAAGAGTAAAGATTATGTATGCTCCTATATGTCACTAGCTACATTAAATTCTAAGCATTTCATTCCTTCACATTATCTAGGTTGTCGCACTTGAAAGATAGTTTTTATCATCTCAAAATTTATCAAGCCAATTTATCTAGTTAGGTCTATCTTTAGACTTAGGTTTGAATTTAAGAGTAGTTAATAGAAAAACATCCTTAATCGTCATTCCAAACTTAAGTCTGATAGTAGTAGACTAGAATTAGCCTGAGGGATTCTTACCTCGCTTCTCTGTGGGATCAACACTCTGGTTTTAAAAGAAAACCCTATACTACTTGAAATAATATGTATATTTGGGTAGAACTCCTAGTGTATAAAATATGAATCATATCTATATTCTATAATATATTCATTTTGCACATTAGTCGCCTAAAGAAACTGGGTCAAGATTTTGGCCATGGAATTAAATATGTGTCATCATCGCGAAACATTGTCGTGCATCGTTTTCTCCACAAAAATAAAAGTCAATTACATAATTTACATTATTCCATATTGATACATGGGGTCCTTGTAAAAACCTTATAACATTCTAGGAAAAGATGGTTTGTGACCTTTACTAATGATCATACTAGGTTAACTTGAGTTTATTTAATAAATGACAAATCTGAAGTGGAAATGATTTTCAAAAACTTGTACACCATGGTACACACCCAATTTCAAAAAATCATTCAAATAATACAAAGCGATGATGACCAAGATTATTTCTAAAATATTTTGGGTCATCTTTTCTCAAAAAATTAATAATTCATTAAAGTTCTTGTGTCAACACTCCACAACAAAATAAAATGATTGAAAGAAGAAATAAACACTTATTGGAGGTAGTTTGAGCATTATTATTTACAAATCAAATGTATAAATACTTTTGGATGAAGCTGTTGTTACTACTACATTTATCATAAATAGAGCACCTAATAAGGATTTAAACTTTGAAACACGTTTTGATGTTTTTCAAATATTTTTCCAAAGTATAGACTCTCGTCCTCACCACCTCTAAAGAAATTTGAAAGCACTGCTTTCATTCACATTCATCATCAAGGAAAACTTGAACCCAAAGAAAAAAATATGTGTATTTATTGGTTATACTCCTAGCCAAATCAAATATAAAAGCTTTGATCTCACTTAGAAAAATGTTTGTTACCACAGATGTCGATGTGAGTTTGGTAAGTTAACTTATGCATCGCTCAATGAAAAACACATTGAAGCAGTCAACATAATTCTTATATATCTAAAAAGTATACAAGATAAAGGTCAACGTACACTGATGTAGATTAGGCAGATTAAATCATTGATAGAAGATCAACTTCTAAATACCGCACCTATGTGTGGGGAAACTTGGTCACATGGCCAAGAAACAGATTGTAGTTGCAAGGAGTAGTGCTGAGGCGGAATATAAAACTATGGATAATAGTGTATGTGTTAAGTTATGGTTGAAAAGAATTCTTGAAGAGCAGCAGATCCCGATAAACATGTCAATGAAAGCATACTGTGACAATAAAGCAACCATAAGCAGTGCAAAAAATCTGATGTAACATAATTGCCCAAAATATTTAAGTCGACAGGCACTATATTAAAGAGAAGATTGATTGTGGAGATATTTGCATGTCCTTTATCCCTACTGCTCTACAAATAAAGGATATCTTAGCCAAAAAATTGTTTATGCCTAATTTTAAGCTTCTTCTAAGCGAGTTGGGCATGACAGATATCCATACTCCAACATAAGGGTGTGTTAGATTTTTAGTATATCTTAATTTTAGTATTTTCTATTTTTAGTATATTCTGCTAGTGATATGTCATAATTCTTATTTTCTATTTTGAGTATATTGTGCTATTGATATGTCATAATTCTTATTTTCTTTTTTTTATCATACAGAGTTAAGGCTGATATTACTATTAACCTAATATGGAAATCACCCTCCTCAATTTAACTTGTAATCGTTTTCTATGAAATTGAAGAGGAATAATAATTTTTTCTTTTCCAAAACTTACCATAATTAAAGATGGCATAAACCGGGATCATCTTGGTTTAAAAAATACATCAGCCTATCAGTTAGTCAGAAACTGGAAAATATATGTCTGGCCCTGTCACTACAAGGAACAAAAGACGGGCATCCACTCCCGCCGATATCAGAACAAGAATAGCGATTGAAACATGAAATTAATAAGTTTAACAGTTCTATTAACTTGGGTGTCAGAAATTACAAGAGACAACCTACCTAACATGGAGTTCTGATGCAATAACAAAAAGTTAAAAGAAAAATATAAAATGCTGGTAGTTCGCAAGTAGAGAGAGCAAAACTACTATAATAATTGTCACAAGGGACAAAAATAATCCGAGTGTAGAAGAAAACATAGAAAAGATGGATCAAGTAGAAAACAAGAAAGCTATATCTAAACACATCAATTTAATAAAAGCGAATGACTGAACCTTCTTGTTCATGTAACGATATAATAATTAAGAAGAAAGGTGTTGAAAGCAAGCTTGCCTCCCCTTACTAGATTGTAAACTAAAATAAAAATAATGTTACAGAAGGTAAGAAACAAACCTTTTGAAAGTCAATGCCGGGATAAACAATATGGCAGTTTGATAATTCTCGGATTTTCTCGTCAATTGCCTGAAGTTCGAAATAAAAGAGAAGTTGTTACTCATAACAGCCTGTGCAATTTCACCCTATAAAAGAAAATTTTAAGAATTTTTTTTAAAAACTGAAATTTAAAAGGAGAATTTACATACATAGCACCCAATTCTTATGTATTTACCTATCTCACACCCAAACTCTCATTTTTACGAACCAAGCACCAACTAATCCTTTTCACCGCTCTGCAACAGTGAAATTCACATTTTCACACATAGTAGTCCTGGTTTTGTAAAAAAGAGAGTTTGGGTATGAGATAGGTAAATGCATAAGAATTGGGTGGTGCTACGTATGTAAATTTCCAAATTTAAAAATGGCTAGTCATGGGATAAATTCCTAACTATATAAAAATTTTGTCCATGATATTAAAAAGGTTACAAAAATGGTAGAGTAGAAAAATGAACTTAAAAGAAAAAATTGCAAGCAAAAACAACAAAGAAAAAAAGAGAGGAGAGCAATATAACTACCAAAAAAAAGTTCAAGATGACAGAAATGATAAAAACTTGCGGTTATTGCAAAATTAAATAAGAAAAAGAAGAAACTAAATAAGAAAAAAAAGAGCATTTGAAGTGTGAATCTGCATTGGGAAAGAATCCTCAAAATATATTTCACCAATTGTATTTCTGCTATTGGATATTTACATTTTCTATTTTTTTCTTATTTTGGAGGGATTCCTATTTTGGTTCCTTTCATTATTATTATTATTATTATTATTATTATTATTATTATTATTATTATGTGTGTGTGGTAAGGTGTAATGCATTGTAGCAAGCGAGAAATAACATTTTTTCTAGAATTCCACATGATATCAGAGCCAAGAAATATCTTATTAGCGTTCGAGTGCTCCGTCACTTTCATATCTAATATCATCGAGGCACTCTCTGTGTTTCGACAACTTCTCGTGTGTTAGCAAATCAAGGGAAATTCAGTGGTGTTTCTAGTCGTTATGTTCTTCTCATTCGTGCATGTGTTGACAAGGCCTGATGCTTAGAATTAACTAATGTTGGAACTGTGGCCGGACGATATTAACATTTTATTTAACTTTTCATAAAATTTCAGAAACTTCCAACCTATATAAAAGAGCCAATAATCCACAAAGTGCATTAAAATTTAAATATTCAAAAACAACATCATTTGTAGCCAATAATCTCCAATCAATATATAAATTGTTTCGATATAGAAGTAAACAAAAGAAAACTAAAATCACATCACAAATTTATACCTATCACTTGCAGTTCTCCTCCTGTAAATCAAATCTCTCCAATTAGACATATCAACTTAAAATTTTTCTTCTCCTAAAAGAAAAAATTAATTGCAACCGTAAGTATGACTGAATGAGTAATTATGATGTAATATGCATTAAATTTTTATGATACGTTATGCATGAATGACCAAAAGAAAATGCAGTTTATTTATTTATAAAACTTTAAATTTTCATTTTAAATTTATCCATTCTCATTTCAATTTAAGTATTTATTATTATAACATTTTTTATAGTCATCACAAGATTACCGTCATACTCGCTGGTATCCCAAAACTGTGCCCGAAGATACCTTCTAAATTGTACCTGAAGATACTCTCAAATTATATCCAAAGGTACACATTTATCATTCTATTCAATGAACACAGGTAAATTGAATCCCCTGCAAGTACTATCCTATGACTTAGTCCTTTACTTAACATTTCATATCAATTAAAATCTTTTAAAATCTACATTCACATGTGTATTATTTCCTCCCAAATGTGATATCATATGAGACTTTCAAAATATTAGACATTAATGAAATACTTATCTTTACCCATTTAATAAAACATTTATTCATTTAATAAAATATTAAATTAAGGCATAAGAAAATAATCACTCACCTTACTTTAAAGAGAACTCTGAAATATCTATCACTATCACTTCACTTCACTTTACTTCCTTCAATTAACACCTCAATCAATTAAATATGCATATAGTTATAAGGATCTCATTATAAAAGAAAGACTTACATATCTCATGACATATAACTAAATTGACACATAGAAGTCAATTAGACAATTCCTTTTCTTAAAAGATATGGTTTGCTTCTTGCACAAAACTCGTCTTTCTTCTTACAACTCTAATTGATACACCTCTATTCTTCATTAGGTTACAATTAATTATTAGAATGCCAATTTATAAATGAATTAATTTGATCTTTGCACCAAACATTAATTAATTAGTTACTATATATTAATGAACGTGTAAAAGAGAACTCATGCTGACCTCTTGATCTCTTAAGCTTTACACAATTAGGTGTTGGAAATTGATTAAGCTCATTCAAGCTCAAGTGCTAATCATGAAAAGTTTGATCTCAATCCCAGACCAAGTTGCATGGTAATATCTATTAAGATAGACAGATTAAACATAGAAATTTTAACTAAAGCTCATTATGAAACACCCATCGAAGCATAAGACTAGATCAAAATATCTAAATTGAATTCATATTCAACAAAAAGAAGGTTAAGGGTGATGGAAAAGGTCAAGAACAACGGATGGAGTTAAAGGGTGTAAAGTGGGTTGTAGATGAATTGGTATTCAACCGCTTCTGTTAGGAGGATGACAAGTTTTAAGGCCTGTTTGGGCAGCTTATAAGTGCAGGCGGCGTTTTTGGCGTTTTGAAAACGTCACATTACTGTTTGGTTCGCACTTTTCGCCAGTTTATTCAAAAACAGAGTTTTGTATTTGTGTAAGACGTGGCCCACAGGATGATCCCCGAGGGCCGCGTTTTCGTTCGCGTTATTACTCTGGTGCCCTGGTTATCTTTCGCATCTCCCTACCCTCGATCTCTGCCCTAGCCGTTTAACTTCGGTCCAAGCGCTGTTGTTCCAATCGGCTCCAATGGAGTCGTTACCACTCCATTGCTCCCAGGCTATCCAGACACCTTCTACTTCCTCAGCCTCAAAAAGATTAGCGTGGCTGGAGCCGGAGTTGTGGAGGTGAAACCTGCATCACCAATGAACGCATCACCCAATGGTGTTTCCAGGCTCTTATTCGATGTCTCCGGTAAAGAAAAAATTGCCCCCAACATCGTGAAGCTTCTTTCTTTTATGCTTGCATTTTATAAGGGTAATATGGTCTACAAGATCAAAGTTATGCTTGCATTTTATATTTCAGCATCGTGAAGCTTCAGTTATGCTTGAATTTTATATTTGGATGGCTTTCTTTTTCATGATAATTTGGATGGATTTCTTTCCAACCTATTTCACTTGGTTGAGCATTGGATTTGCTATCAATGGTCTCAAACAAAAGCATTTATTTATAAACTATTCCCTCCCAACCTCCAGGAAAAATGAAGTCATTGCTATGAATTGGATGTCGCCTTCTTATATGAATTAATAACTCTATTGCTATGACTTGTTTACCATTTGTGTTTTCTTTTCATTTTCATTTATTCAATCAAATACTTTAAACCGACATTGGCATAAGGGTCTGTAGGCCTTCAAATTTATTCAGCAGGTACATAATTTGCAGGAGTTAGATATGTAAATACATAAGAAATTGGTGGTATGTATGTAAATGGCCCAAATCATAAAGGTCTACTGGGTACATCATAGAGTTATTTTTTGTTGTGTTGCTTCAGCAGCTTCATGAGTTATGTTTGAACATAAAACCTTACGAAAAATTTGTCATCCATGCATTCTCGGCGATCTTTTATTATCCGTGCATTTTGATTTATGTGGCTTTTATTTTGATGTGTTTGAAAAGAAACCAAAAGATGTTCTAAACCCAAAGAAGAAACAATTAGAAAAGATTACACTGGTATGTGAAATCTTTCCTCGTTCTACCTCAGTTATTTCCCCTTTATATTGTACTCTTCGAGTAAGAATTTGTCATCTTGTGGTAGTAATAGTTTTATTTCATTAGCTCGTTCTACCTCAATAATAAATTATATTGTATGGATAACCGCCCTTCAGAAATAAAGATCATTAGCATTTTTTTAGAAAGACAATAAAAATTGAAGTTCAATTTGTCCACATCATACTACCGTTGCGAACAGCTCCACTACGCGTGGCCGAAATGATTTTTTTCACGTAAAGCTGCAAAACAGTTGTTCTCAAGCCGCAGTAACCAAACAGCTAAACAGTTTATTCAGTTCAAGGGCAGATTGGTCATTTATCCACAAACAACTGCAAATCAGCTGTTTTTCAAACCCACAAACCAAAAACCAGCCAGCTATCTGAATCAGTTGCTTATCAGCAGATTATCAGGATAAACAGTTTATCAGCATAAGTTGGATAAGCTGCAGCTGTCCCAAACAGACCATTAATTACTTTTCCTAGGGCTCTTAATTGTTGTGTTGCCTCCAGAGTCCATACTCATGTTGGCAAAAATTTAGGTACGCATTTTAGGCTAAAAAATAAATGAAAACAACCTTGTCCTAATTACTTTTCCTAGGGCTCCCAATTAATAAGATCCATACTTCGATGTCCATTACTATAATTTTTTCCCTCCAAGTTAACCACTTAATTCATAAGAAAATAATAATATGTAATCAAACACAAAAATATACAAGGGCTCATAAACATCAAAACTCAATATCACCATGGGGTGATGGCATCATCAATTTAACAAGGGGTGTAATTGATACTGGAGTTATCCCAAATCACAACGAAATAAAAATATTATTGTTGAAATTTCAAAAGAGGTACAACCAAGACTCTTCACAACATGAACAAAATGACACAAATACATGTGACTCTCTAGGGTGAGAGCGAGATGGTGGGTTGTTGGCTGGACAACAGGTAAGGAATGGTCTAGGTGTGGGGGCGTTGAAGGTGGAAGGAGGTGGGGTGCAGTGGTGGGGGTTTGTTGCACGTAGAAGAATTGGTATGTCGTGGGCCAACAGATAGGAAAGAAAGCAAGTGTGCAAAGATGGGTTGCAGTTGGGAGTGACGCTAGTGGAAGTAGCATGGCCTGCAGTTGGGATGGTATGAAAAGGGAGGTGGCCGGT